ATTGCAACTTTTTTCTATCTTATGCTTTTTTTGTACTTTTTGTACTATATACACTCTTTTTATATTATATTACATATTTTTTTTCTCTCATGGCACCTTGTTTTAACATTTTGTACTCTATGTGAGCTACTAGAATCAGAAAAGGAGAAATTCCAAGGGATAAATAAAGTTGAGTCTAAAACTAAGTCTAAGTTTATTACAATGTGAACCCGATTGAAGGGCCAGGGAGAAGCTCACCTCTTGAGCCACATCAGAGCCAATGTTGCTCCAACTTTAGGCCATTCTTTGTGGGCTTCTCGTTCTGCTTCTAGGATATTCTGCAAGGTGGCGTACTTTGCAGGATCCTGAACATAAACTGCTTTTATTTTCTAAGGAGAAAAGTAAAGCAAACATTTGATCCAAGTCTGCACAAAAGGAGCAGCAACAGTATGCCATATCTGGGGTTTTATAAGTAAACAGTAGTATAAATTGATAGGTGAAACAGAAATAGATCCATCTCACTGTAATGTTTCCATTGAGGTCCTTCTTGATGATTGAAAACACGCTTGATCCGAAGCAGTCTGCAAGAGAAACAGACATCTGAGAGCGCAGCAATAAAATATGAATGACTTCATGGCGCATGTGCCGAGAAGGATCAGTGGTGTTCATGGACAGACGCAGAGAATGGACTGTTTCACTAAAGAGGTCAATGTGCGCTCTGTTCAGCCTGTAAACAAGGAATAAAAGCACCGCTGCAGATCCAGCCTCTCTTTACGACTGCTCTTTTGTTGCGCAAAAAAAAACATTTTTCCCTATAAGATTACATCGATATAAAACTCAACAAAAACAAGAGACCGAAAGAACAGAAGAGGAACTGGTTTATCCTGCATATGAGGCGAGGCACAGAAAACAAAACAGAAAAAAAAGTCACCTGATGTGTTTCTTAGTTAATCAGGTGGAGCTTAACTCACCGAAAAACGAAGGCAGGCTGGAAACATTGTCCAAGAAGGTCTTGGTGTCCACAGACTTGTCTGCAGGAAGTTCTTTAAATTGATTGTCCAATAAAAGAGACATGGTGCCGACCTGTGACTAAAGCTGCAGGAGACAAGAGGAAAAACCCGGAACTGTTTGCTTGTCAGATGGGTGTGGAAGAAGCGCTGCCAGCCCCCATCATCATCATCGCGTGTTTTCTACAGGTGGCAAATAAAGACGAGGAAATTATGTGATCTTTATGGTTTATTATTCACATCAGATGCGGTTTGATTTCAACTAGAAGAAACAGGAAGCTTTAATTGACAGACCTGCAGCCAGAATGACAGGAATAGGCTTAAACTGTTTATGTAGAGTTGAAAATAAAGTGAATTTTGTGGTACAAACATAATGTAAATCGATTTATTTTGTTAGTTTGGTTTTGTAATGGTACGGATTAGGGCCACAGGAAAAAAAAAAAAGTTAGCTGATTTTTAAATATTTCAGTCTAATATGGGGGGGGGTCAGAATTCGGACTATAATCTCAGAATTCAGACTTTAATCTTAGAATTTAGACATTTTTCCTCAGAATTTAGACTTTTTTTCTCAGAATTTAGACTTTTTTCTTAGAACTCAGACTTTTTTCTCAGAATTTACTTTTTTCTCAGAATTCAGACTTTAATCTCAGAATTCTGACTTTGGTGATATCCTTCTTTAAGAAGTTTCTTTATACGCTTGATTTTCATATAAATATACATTTGCATGCAATAAATGACTACATTAGAATTTTCCCTAATACTACTTGTAATATATATTCTTAATTTTATCGACCAATGTTACCCACATTTCCTGAGCTAAGTTTCTATCTCAAACTTCTTTTTATAATGTTTAAAAAGAAAAAAAAAATTTACCTAGGTGGATATACAATCACGGATAAGATCGCAGAAAACGACTCTATGATATAACCTTTGGGGAAATTATTTGGAAGGAAGTAATAATTGTTTGTGATTGGCTGAATCATCTCATTCCCAATATTTAACTTCGGTCAGCTTAGTTTAAACCTCTATTTTTTTCCAATGTTATTATTATTTTTTTTTTTAATCAGACACAAACTACTGCAAATCATTACCACTGTTCAGATTCTGCACATTTCCTGAAAATGTTTATTCAGAGAGCGAATAGCATCCTATTGTATTGCTAAAAAAAAATCAAACGTTTTTATTTTCAGCAACACTTTTTCCCCCCCATCCTCTCACCTCACTGAACTCCTCAGCAAGCTGCAAGGAAATCAGCAGTACTTTAAATGAACACTCAATCAGTAGATTGGTAGATTAAGGGTTCAAGGCTGGAACTTTCTGGAGGATAAATATTCAGGGGAGTATAATAAAAATGCAACATGAATAATTATACCCAACCTTAGTTGGTTAAACATTAATAATTCATAACAGATTGTCAGTTAATAACGCTCTGGGGAAATGTTGGCACAAGGTTTCTCCAATCCCATAAGACTGATGACTTTTGAACTAAAATTAATCATGTTGTTCTTAGTAACACAATTACAGTCCACGAAAGATAATGTAGGCTGCATGTTTTGCATTGAAAAAAAGTCTAATCTAAACATGAGTAACTTCAAATCAGAGATTTTCTTTCCACATCCATGTCAGCTCATCTCACTACTACAACGGTAGTATTGGCCCAGGATAAAGAATTTTTTTTCCTTCTATTTCAAGAATAAAGTTGTAATACTATGAGAAATAAGATGTAATATTATGAGAATAAAGAGAATAAAAAAAAAGTTGTAATATTACAAGAATGAAGTAACATTACCAGAATAAAGTTGAAATATTTTGAGAATAAAGTCATAACATTACAGGAATTAAGTCATAACATTATGAGAATAAAGTTGTAATATTATGAGATGTTGTAATATTTCCTTATTTGTCCAACCGATGCCAAAGTATAACTTCACATGATGCTCAAAATTCCTCATTTTAGGAAAGAAAGCACTTCTCATAACTTTACGACTTTAATCTCGAAATAGAAGAAAAAAATCTCCAGCCCAGCCCTAATACTCCGTCATTCACTGCAATTGGAAAAACATTAAAAAAAAAATAAATAAATAAATAAATAAAAAGGTACACAGAGAGCATGGTTATTTTATTGTGGGCTGTCAGCCATTTAACAGCAGTATGCATTTGACCACAGGAAGCGTGTAAAACACTGGAGTTACAGCACCACAGCAAATACACCGAGACCACAAGTTATCAATAACTAGCTGCTAGTAGGGATTCCCCCAAAGAGCAGAACAAAGTTTGGCTGTGTTAAACAAAAGCTTATGAAAATAAACACTGATATTTGTTTAGAGGTATGACATACATTTTTAAATAGAATAGCATTTGGATTAATCTGATAAAGAATTACATGGATACATACATCTTACCTATTTGCATAATGCTATTAGAAATGATTCAAGGTGGATTTCATACATCTTGTCACTGAGGCCGCGTTTATCAGCAACTTTGCCTCCACACGTCCATTCACACACACATATAAGAATAGCTGTAACATTGCAACTCCAATAACTATTGATACTTTACCCAAAGGAAACATGTCCACCCAGATAAGAGACTGAGGGCTAAATCATCTGCTGGATGGATTAAAAATGTGCTGGTCTGAAACATGCACTCAAGGCGTTGGCGTCTTCGTCACAGTCGGCTTTCTAATTAAGTGTACACTTTTAAGCGGGCAACATCACAAATATTTGAGATAACAATACAACCAGTGCTTCCTACAAGAGTTAGTAGAAAAATAGACCATTGCCACAGGAGTAAATGGGGGGTTATCAGTTGTGATCCTTGGTGTTTAGCCTCGTTTCAGCCATGCCAGAAAGCAGACGTCAAGAAGCACAACAGATGTCCACTACAGTACTGATGGAAAAGACAACACACACGCAAGATGAAAAAGAAAGAAAAAAAAAAACTTCAGAACTGCTTGTTCTGATTCGGCTCCATATAAGCACACAGCATTGCACTTCTGGAGTCAGAGTGATGTAACTCTGCGAGGTAAAGATGTCTTTTCTTAAACGCATGGCACAAAGACATTTAGTTCATCTGTTTATTAATTCATGATTCTGCATCCTTTGGTAAGATATCCCCGACCCAAGGAATGTGTGTGAATGCTTATTACTATTGAAACAGAAATATAACACTGATTAAAAGGAAAGCCTAGCAACGCAACAGATAGACTGTGTATTGAGTGCTTGAAAAAGGTCTTTGGATTTTAGTTAGTTGTTGTTTTCTTTGGTTGTCACAGTAACGAGTTGCTTGGCAGCTTTGGCAATGTCATAGGCACACTGAATGACTTGCTGAGTGACCAGCTGGATGTCCGACGCGCAGGGATTGTGGCCTGCCGCCTTCTGGCATTCTCCATGAAGCCGGCTTGCACTTGAAGTCAGCAGATACAGAGAATTTCTAACGGTCTCCGAGGACGGCCTCTGTGGAAAGATGAATATAAATCCTCTGGAAGCAAAAGGGAATATTTAAAATCTGTCAACAAATATGCTGATGGTTCCAGAAATGAATACCTTGGGAAACAGAGCAGCCATCTCTGTCACAGCTGAGCGGATCTTCTCAGAACACGGCAGAAAGCTGTAAGAGAGATGTTAAAAGCTACTGGATGCTTTACTAAGCAAAGAGAGATTAACGATTTTTTTTTGCTATTTTTTTTTCTTTTATTTACACATTAATCCCAAATTAACTAAACCAAATACTTAATATAAACTTTTTTCCAAAGCAGGGACATTCAGTAATATTGAAATGTTTTCACAACTCCGTCAAAAGGACACCAAGTCATTCAAAATGCCCCATTTATGACAATATTCAATTATGAAACTATTAATTAATATCACAATATATAACTATTATGATTACCATTTATTTTAAATGTCTCTTTTTTCCTTTTATAACATCACAAAATCCCTACTGTGTTCGATAAGCCCTAGAATCTAAATCACCAGAACAAAGTTATCATGTGGAGTTAAGCTGGAGTTTGTTCAACAGGCCAAATGTATAACACAGTGTTCAGCAGGAAGACAGCTGAAAAATGTGTTTGAAACAATGTTGAATCCAATTAGCCTTTTGGAGTTGGACTTAACAGTGCAGTATTCATGTAATCATGATTCCACAAGGTTTGGTGTATTTCTTCCCTCCTTGTTTCGTATATTTTCATTCTAAATCAGTGTTTTTCCAGTAAAACCTGTTACTCTATCAATTGATATCAGGTGTGTGAAAGCTGGGACACATTCAAGACATAAATGGCAGTGTGCCTTGAGGACCAGGGTTGAAAAACACTGCTCTGAAATATATGCAAAGAAACTATGTTTGGCACATTTCATTTATTCCTTCCTCTTGTACTGAAAATCAAGATGTGAGTGGGTGTACTCTCAGCAGGAATGGAGACATAATCGTTCATGGGATCAAAATGACAGATTAATTGTTTGGCCTTTCCATTTCCTTGAGCTTCACTTTAAAGTTTTTCGTAAAAAAAAATAGAATATATATATATATTTAATTATTAAAAATCTAATTTGAATATGAAATACATTTCCACAACTTCTGTGGCATAACAATCAATCATTTACAAGACAACATAAAAGGGATTTAGCAGAGGCTACATGACAGTGATGATGTATTGGGGGGGGGGGAAAAATCTGAAATTCTTCTATTATCATGATGACCAAAGTAAATACAAACAAACAACTGTAAATGAGTGGTTCCAGAGGCGTACCTTTCATGTTTGGTCTCCTGGGCAGCTCTCAGAAGTTCCTGAATGTTTTTTGTGATCTGCTCCGTCTTACAGATAACATCCTCGGTGCATGGCAGGGTGGCGTCTTCTTCACCTTCTGCTTCAGGTTCTGCCGATTCAGGAGCCGTCACAGGACTGCTGCAAATACAGAAATATAACCACTGAAGTCCTCCCAGCCGTACATTTTCATTAGAAAGAGATGGTTAGCAAAGGTTAATCTCAGAAAAGAGTTACAATTCAAAGAGAATTTATGTTGTCCTGGTTTAAAATCCAATCCCTGGCGACTATTTTCTTACTAAAATAAGTATTTTGTAGAAAATAAAGTAGTATGAGGATCTTATTTTTTTTTCTTAGTGAAAACAGGACTGTGTAATCTATATCTAGTCTTCTAATATTTCAAAGCAAATCCCTTCATTTCATGGAACATTTTTGTAGTATCTGTCTTTTTTAAAACCTTTTTGAAGGACCTAAATCTGATTTTTAGCAAATGTTGAACAAATCCCTTTCCTTCAATTTGTTTAAAACATATAAGCAAAACATGTAGCACTTTAAGCCTGTAGTGTTTTGTTTTTCACTCTGAGCTGCACTGATTTCTGACCGAAAAACATAAGCATAAAGTTAAGAAGAAATATAAACTCAAACTTAATTATAATGAGATATTAAGGCTCAACAAAGTGTGGTTCTTTAAACACATGAATTAAAACCATAAATAAACCAAACATTAATTGCTACAAGAGACTGGGACAATAGATGAGGAAAATACAACATATGGTCAAAACCTACTCCCTAAACATACCTCCCTGTGTGAAGTTTTACTCACTAAAACTTCATTGCATTTTTTTTTTTATTTGTTCTGAATAATACATTATACAAAGTATACATTTTCTAAACTATAATTGTAGCTAATTATACATTTACTGGGCTTAAACATTAGATGTAAAGCTTATAACATGTTATAACACGAGGGGAAATGAGCTCATGCACGCTCTCACATGCATTTAATAGGTGTTCCCTCTTGAGAGCGGGTACAGGGATGTGAACGTGCATTTAAAAGTGGAGAGGGTGGGTCTTTTCAAAAATTTGTGAAAATCCTCCATTATACCTTTAAGATTTTAGGGGAAAATAAAATCGATAAACACAAACATATGGTCAAGATTCACTACATGAAAAGCTCCAATCTTGTGAATAACTGTTCTAAATCTTCATAACATAAACAAATATGCTACACTTTGCTTAAGTAGGTAAAGATTAAATATTCCACGTTCCTACTTACCCAGCCTCCTCAAGTTCAGAGTGGTTTGGAGTAGTGTCATAGTCACTCTCCAACATTGTACTGTGTCCTCCAAAACTACAGCCCTATAATAAAAATCATCACCATGTTACCATCATTCTAATACAGAAAGTGACTGCTGATTAAAACAAACATAAATATTAGACACATTTACTTCATGCATTTCAGAATTGGTGTTTCACTCTAAAGCACAAACGGAAAGAGAGAGGGGGGGAAAGTATCTGGTGTTTTCAGACATTCGTAGCTTAGCTGATGCAATTAGTAGAGCTAATACAATGAGGATGGTAGCCAAGTGTGTTGTGCCAAAAAGGATTTTTTGAAATAGACCAACTTCATGTTCTCATAGAGATGCACCAAGGAATCAACAAATGATTAAAACTAAAATTTTCAGCCTGACTGGCTCAATGAAGAATACAGGATAGTCAACAACTCAAAAAGTGATTTTTTTTTTCAGATCAGTGAATGTAGCCTTTAACACAATCATACTCACAGCCAGACTCTGTGCTGTCGACTGGGTTACTGAGTGAAGAACATTTAATGGTAGATATTCTCAGTATCATTAAGGCTTTTGCAATGAAATTTTATGAGGTACCATAAAAAAAAAAAAACACTATTGCTGATTTCCTATTCAGCGGCTATATCTTCCGAAGGTCAGATCAGTCGGACGATTAAGTCATAGCGTGGCGCAGAGGCCTGTTCGGATTGGAAGATGCCTCGTTATGCGGCCTTCTTTTTAGCCATTTTGAAGGACAGGTCCGGTGTATCCTACGTAGCCTTGGGCTACCCGAGTCTAAGCAAGCCGGCTGCTCCGTGCTCAGAGGTAAAAGGGAAATGACGCAGATCAGTGGTAAATATTTTAAGCACAGTTTACATAAAATCCAAGTATGTGAAAAGTTCTGTCTGAAATGAATGAAAATAGTTGTTTTTTATTGGTTGTTGGGTTAGATGTCTCAGGTAACACTTGGGTTATTAAAAGGTTTTATCTGTCTCTGTTTTGGATGACATTTAAGCTCAGATTCCAATATCTCTGCAAAGTGAGGACTATAAATCTGATATCTGCAACGACGGTACTGCTGCTGAAGCTCCTCGAAAATTTACTTAGGATACAGCACAATAGTGAGAAGTTCAGCATTCATTCTTTGCCTGCTTTGTGTGTCAACTGTCACTGTTGCTAGGTAACAGAGCGTACGCTGACGATGCAGCCTCTGAAATCGAACACAGCCTCTATTTCTACATGTTGAGTTAGGTGCTGCACCTTCTGGTTCCAAGTGTGAGGATAAGCAGGACTATTCACACAGATAACAGGACATAAGAACTATGTACAAGAAAATGTCTCCATTTTATCCTTTGAAGCTTCCCAACGTCCATCTCTAATAGAATGTTCAGATTCTGAAAATCTCAGCATTAAGGATCTAAGTTGTCGAGTAATACACACAGATTTGTTTTATAGTAATGCTATTGCCACTAATCCCATATAAAACATTATTTAGACAGTTTAAAAGGTTAGAACTAACTTTGTCTCATATTTAATGCTGGATTTTGATTCACTGCTCTCAGATGTTTATATAATGATCAATTAAACCAGGAACTAAAATAGGTTTCTGTAGCTCAAAGAGTTTCATAAATCGGATATTTGAAATCCAACAGAAAATCATATCGGTGCATCTCTAATCCTGATCACAGCTGCAGTGGGATCATTCAGCTTGTCATCATCACTTCTGAAACCCGCCAGCCTTGTTGAAGTTACTGGACCGTAGCAGCGGTACAAAGGTACATGCATGCAGCCAATATTCAAAGCAGTTCAAAGACAAGGATCTGGAGAGAGAAGACTGTGGGGTCAAGCAAGAGGACAGTTTTCAGCATCTCTGGAGGCTTCAACTGAGCCGAGGGGATTTTCAGTACTCAACCCTGCGAGATCTCTCATCCCACGACCAGGACGGAGGAGAGGGGAAGGTAGGTAGGGAGGAGGCAGCTGTCCCCAAAGGGCCCCTACCAATCTAGAGAGGGGGTCAAACCAAGTTGAGCAACACCATTGAGATGCAGTAAATGATTGAATGAACAAATGAAAATCCAACACCAGCCCCAGGCCAAGCACCATCACTTTGAACAATCATGAGCAGGAACCTCGGTGCTTGTATGCTTACATTGGTGGGAAAAGGCTGTAAAACGACTCCATCGTCATGACGAGCCGTTTCCACTCTGTGGGAGAAATGTCGCGGAGCAGAACCCGTCTCATACATCGACATGGCACGACCTCCGCGGGTTGGATGCCGACCAAGGGGCCCCTGGGAATGTTGCTGTCCGCTGGGGGTTTGCCATCTCAGTGATGTGTTTTCAGTCTGCAGGGAGCTCAGCTGTGGGCAACAAACAACCTTGTAATTCAATCTGGGCTGAGTTGGTTTCCTTACAAAAGGTCTGTAATCGACAGATAAGCCTACAGGTAAACAAAATCCTGCTAGACTAGTCTCAGTTTTGTTTTGGGTTAGTTGTATTGGTCTATCACACACCAAGAGAGCTCTCTACGACAAATGGAATCCTTATGCCATACGTTGATAAAAACTCCCACGAGAATATGCAGGACAAGTAGTTGCCTTTATTTATGAAAAAAGAAAAATAAGAGTGAGAACCATCATTTGTTTCATCTTAATGATCAGAGTGTTGTACCAAGACTCTGTAAAATGATCTTATCTCTAGAATGAAAAAAAACAAAAACAAAAACACAGAGGATAGTAAATAACATCCAAGAGGACAATATTTAGTCAGCCAAAGGAGACATGTCCATTCTGCTTAAAAAAAAAAAAAAAAAAAAATCTAAACAAATGCGTCTTCCCAAAAAACTACACGAAACTTTGGAAAAATTTGGTAAAAATTCTCTTTTAATTCTAAATATGAGATTAAATGACAATTGTGGCAAAGTATTTTATTTTGGATGTACAACTTCTACTTGTTTATGCTTAGTCCAACTATGCAACAACATAAAATAAACTATATAGTTCCGTTCACAATCCCTCCACATGTGACCAAGATGGAATCAGTCAATGTAATGCAACAGTGTAATGTTGTTTTTGTATTCACCCCGTTATGCTGTGAGAACATTTCAAGAAGAATGTCTAGCCAACCCCTAAACGAAGAATTGGAGGGTTTGCTTCTTGTACCAAGATGGTTTCGTTCCAGAAGAATGGATGAGACTTGAGAATGTTGTCATAAAAAACTTAATCCTAGTTCCAAGTCAGAAAACCAGTGGCATAAACTAACTGTTAGACTCAGTGATTTAGGAAACAGTTCCACAAGTATCATGTACTCATGAATTTCTAATCATTTTACGCATTCAAACAGTAAACCAGGAAGCTAACATATAGAAAATTGACCATAAACTGCAGTCAAACCATTTCTGGTTTACCAAGTATGCTGGTATTCTGATAAAGATGTAAGCTGTGTGGAATTCACACTGTTCTGCTCCATCACAGCTAGGTTCATTACTTTTTCCATCATTTCCATGTTAAAGGATCAATCTGGTAATTTAACTTTCAGTTATCATTGAGTTCTCCAAGTGGTCAGCTTACTATTAGTCAATTTAAAGTTATACCTTAAATTGCACATTTCCTTTGAAGCATTTTGACTTCTTAGCCAAGTAAACCATCAGAACATGTATTGAGAACAGAGCAGCTGCTGCTTAGATTCTGTAGCAGTAGCATATACATGTGTTTAATATATGGTGATCAAGATGTTTATGCTTAAAAGTTCAATCTAAGGGAAGGTGCAGGGAGAATTATGTTTTCTCTGGCATCAAATGTTCTAATGCCATTTTAAATAGAAGTGGTCAAATACAGCAACGTGATGGGGTGTAAGTGCAGGTACTAGTTTAATGAAGTTCAAACAGAAAAAAAGGGGCCAATAAACAGGTTTTCAATATGAAGAAGCTTTATTGAATCAAAACTCAGAGCTTACCAATGACCCTCCACTTTCCAAGCTTTTGTCTTTAAGAGGTGTTAAATTTTTTGACTCACTTTTAAACGGCCAGATCATTAAAATATATTAAAAATCAATATTCTTACAGAGGTCTCAGATATTAAATTCATGTAGCTATGCATGTTTATTTGTTGCATGTTTTTTTTCATAACTTCAGCATAGGGTTAGGGTCGCTTTATATGCTGGACAAATTATATAGATATGGATATATTTGGGTTTATTTTTTGGGGGGGGAATAACTGTGTTTGGACTTTGATAAATCTGAGGTCCGCCATGCAAGTAATAAAAGAAAGTAAGGGGGCGGGAGGGAACAAGAGATTGAAAAATGAAAAACCCTGATCATGATTCTAGAAAAAGATCCTGCTGGTGCTCTGAACTCACTTTCCTGTTAGCAGAAATGTTAAAGAGGATTTTCTAAAACATCAGTAAATTAAACTTGTAAATTATATCTGACTTTACGTGGCACTTAGCACATGCTTCCTGTAGGTGTCAGTGGTTTACTTTTAGTTTATAATTAGTGGCAACCTGTTGCAGAAGTCCAAGCCATTATTTATTTGTCTTAAGACCGGCTTAAAAGATGTTTAAGGAACTTTCTTAAAGACCAACTAAGACCAGGCCTAATACCATGAAGTCTCTAAAGTAGGGTTAGCAACATATCAAGGTTTTAAAAAAAATAAGATAAGGAGAAATAGGATGAGACTAGATCCTTTATATGGAGATAGTCTGTGTTGTAATTATACTTTGCCTATGGCCCCCTCTGAAATAACGCTGGGCCCCCAGTCCCAGTTCCCTTAAATTACAAACACAGTGCTGTTAGACTGCATGATATTGAGTGTGCTTGAGGCTGGCTGTTAGGAGCATGTCCGATTATCTCTCACTGGCTAATTTCATTCAATGCAAAGAACTAGAGTTAGTTCAGCAGAAAAAAAGAACTAGATTTGAATGTTTAAAATGGATGCAGCACTAATGCAAATGTAGCAGATCCTCTGCTTTAAATGTTTTAAAAACCGCTTGGTGATTGACAGCGTATTATTGTAATACGGCAATATGTTAAAGAAATGCAAAAATCAAAGCAAAGCAATATGCCTCAAAGTCAAGTTCGTCAGGTACAAATAATCCACTTTTTTAATTACACCATAGTATTATTATACCACCATTTAAATAAAATTCAAAAACAGGTCAAAGCTGCAAAATGTATTATTAGTCAATTTTTCAAACTCTAACAAAATATTAAACATAAAATCTATTTTCCAAACATAATCCTTAGCTTATGTAACTAACCTTGCTCTGCATCATCCGTAGTTCTTCACTAAGATGACAGTTGACTTTGAGAAGCTGTTGTATTTTGGCTTCTGATGCATTCAGGGCACTCTTAACCTCCATGAACTCCTGCACTGTGATCGGGCCATCAGAAAGATCAGAAGACTCTGAGCTCTAAAAGAAAAAAACAAAAAAAAACAGAAGATAACATCAGTCTCAAATGTCAAGCAAGGTAAAGATGTGTTGTAGTAGGAGATGCCGGTTTCTTATATAGATTAACCTTGGTCCTTCCATCATTGCAGTTATCCCCACAGGTGGCCTCTTGTACTGGATCTTCATCAGATGCCACACTGTCATAATCTGGTTGGTCATTTTCTTGGCTCTCACTGTTGTGGCGACTGTTTATTCCCTGAAGGATCAGCTCAACATTATCTGATGACAGGGAGAAAAAAGTCAGTGATCAAAGTGGAGAGGACTTACATAGAGATCAATATACTAAATAGGACATAATGTTGAAGCTTATGATTTTAAGTGTAACTTAAATGTGACATAAAATGAAAACACTCTAGAGATAAATGCATAATGTGAGCAAAAATCTGTTAAAACTAAAATCCTTTTATACCTTTTGGACTATCGCAGGAATTACCCCACTGTCGCCGTTTAGCATCCGCTAGAATATCGATAACAAGGGTGGCAAACTCATGAGCGCTAAACCTTGCCAGTTTCTGACGACCCTGAAAATCCAAATGTATGAAGACAGAGAAAAATTAACTTTCAGAAATCAGCTCCTTCCACCAAAGCATTGCACTTCAACACGTGGCTAACTTGCCTGATTTCTGGTCGATGAATACTCGGGATTAACAGGCAGGAAAGGTACAACTGTTGTGTCAGTGACAAGAGTGCTGTGATTCTGAGTGGCCAAGCAGACTGAAAAATAAGGGCAGTTTGCATTTAGCATTACAGAATGTTGTAAATATAGGAATAAAAGCAGACAAAGTCTGCATGCTGAAAAATAAGGCTCAGAAATCGAACCTGCATCGGTTTCTCTTCTGTCCACTTCATCATAAACATCCATTGCAAGTTCCTCAAATTGATGGTTGGTTAACTAAAAATAAAGCTGTATTACTAATTTAGTTAATCATTTTGAGCAGAAAGTTAATATATCTAAAAGATGCCTTACCGACTGCAGCTTCTTCTTTGCTGCTTTTGCGAAATCTGACAAATCAAGGCTGCTTTGGAAAAAAGAATTCAACAAATCAATTCAAGCAAAAGGGAACTAATCCTTTTCCACAAAGACAAATTTATTAAAAATACTTACTTGTTTCTATTCCATCATATGCAGCACAAAGTAAAATGGATTCAAATTATAACCTTAACATTATTAACTTAAAATTCACAAGAAAACCCGTAGTCATCAACAAATTCTTTTGACCAAATAGTCAATATATGATCCCAGTTTGAAAAAGAATTACCTGTCTGCCATCTGTGGAATGATGAAGTGCTGCCCATGTCTGTGATCTAGAACACAAGAGGATAAGAAAAACAGTATTAAATGATAATAAAACATCTTGCTTCACTGGCCAACAGTTAAATTTAGAGTTCCTGTTAAAAACCAGTTTGTAAGTCTTTCAGTGATGCCATTTTAGTTTCATTTTTCAAAACCTCTGAATCTGTTTGGACCCTATCATTCTCCAAGGTTGAAGTTTAGTTTTTCTAAAGACTTGATTAAATGTCGTAGCAGAGCTGGAAAATAATATATTTCAATGAGGGTGATATGACTTTAAAACATACTTTGATACATTTAACAGTCTATGACTCTTCTGTTCTATTATTTTATACTGACATGAGTGGCATACATCCTGTGTATGCTGTGCTAAGCAGTGGGCTGAGCCCCAAGGCGTTTAGTTTTAGCTACAATAGGAGTGACAATGATAAGTTTACCCAACATCCCCATTCTGGACAAGTAGTACCTTGCAGAAGCAGTCTCTGCAAAGGTCTCAGATTTTAGCATCTCTGGAAAGATGTTTAAACCATGTAGCGGTCAAAAGCAACAGGTCGCACCACTTTAAGTTACAGTCAGAATAGAAGAGCTCAACTTTGCACCAGGAAATGTACAGCCAAGTTTAAAAATCCATAACCTAAAGGTTTTCCAAGAAGTTAATGATCAGCTAGATCAAAGACTGCGCTAAAATCCAGAAATGCTGCTACATCCGACTGCTTACTGTCAATCTGTCTCAGTCAGTTTTACTGGTAAGAACCGTAAGTTTAACAAAAGTGCTTGACAAAAGCCTAATTTCTATGCATACTGAACTCAAGAGATGACAGAGGATTTTAAGCTCAGAGAAAAGGGAATCATTTACCAACAGGCAGTAAAAAGGTTTTTTGGCATTTTGTGTTTTTCAGTCTCACTTAGCCTAAATCTGTCTTTCACTATAAGTGGCTACAGTTTTGGTCTCCAGCCTTTTTGTTAATTTGGAAGTGTTTTATGAATAACAAATCCATAGAGTATTAAGTTCCTTCAACAGGGTTTATACAGGAATGAATAACTCAAATTTAATGCTCTTAGAAATAATTTTAATGCCACCAACAGGTACCCGTCGACAGGCTGCAGCCATGTCCAAAATTCCTTGTTTTCCAGCCACTTTTGTTGAAATTAGCTTTTTCTCCAACTCAAGCTTCTTTTCTGAACATACAGCTTTGCGATCAATCGGGGGCAGTTCCACGCAAATATATTGTGATATAATATGTCTGACAAAATAGTTTTTATAAAAAAAAATTTTAATAAAGCATTTTAAATGCCACAATAAACACATTTAATGAATTTTAATGCCAATTAAGGCCTTACTTTAAAAAAGAATCATTTAATGACTTTTTATGATTTTTAATGACCCGCGGAAATCCTGTTGAACCAAATCCACACAGCAGCTTCATTACATGAGCTGTGATTTTAGTGCTTACCGGGTCTTCTGCCACACAGGTAAAACGTTAACCGATCAGTGAGTTCATACTGTATCTCAACCAGCCTCTCAGCCAGTTCCTGGTGCCCGGCTTGTCTACAAATATGACAAATGGAAAAAGTCAAAGTTAAACATCAGCAAAGAAACTCAAAAGTAAAACAAACAAATGTATCGGTTGTTTGAGGAAATAATTGCTTCAGTATGTAACTTAAAGTAAGGAGGATGGAACAAGAAGTACTTTGAGTGGTGATGGTAATCCAGTGTTTTCAGTCACTGTCCTTTATATTTTAGCCATTTCACTCCTGCTACACACCTAACCTAAATAAATGGTTGATCACCAGGCTTATGAAGCCCATGGTGGCTGCTAAGGCGGTAATGCTACTATTTGGATTGGTGTGTTGGAGCAGAGACACATCTAATCCATGGAGGGCTGTAGGTCCTGAGGACCAGGGTTGAGAAAAACTGAACCAGTCATAAAAAAAAAGTATTAAGAAGCTTTTTTCATTTTTTAACAAATCCTAATTTAGTTTTTGTTTATATGTGCACACTTATACTACAAATCTCTATTATAAGCCATTTTAACAGATGCTAAAACCTAAAACAGATTTATTCAAGAAGACACAAGGGAAACAATAACATAAAAATTAACCACTAGTTGCATCCAAGCACTTGATAAACAAGGACTTAGAAAGTTATGTTGGGTACTTTCCCAGATTCAACATAACCCATCAATATACTGTTAATTTAATGAAGTAGTTAAACCCAATACTATAACTTGGGTGCATTAATGATTAATATCCTTTCAATAAAATGTAGATTTTTTTATTTCTATTTCAAATTACTTTCCTAAAAATAAACTATTTTTTATGTCATAAATCCATTTATAAATATTACTTTTATTTTATTGTTGTGTACAGCAACATCACCTCACCACAACCTGTGAGTACAGAAACAGCTTTTGTTCTTGGCAGCTTAGACATATATAACATTTCTATGCTTGAAAAGAAAATGCTCCTTCATAAAGAATATATATTAAGTTTAACATAAATAAAATGACATTTTGTTTTAACTGGACATACTTTCAAAATGGTATACAATGGTTTTTCAATTGTTTTTGTTGTTTTACCTTGCATAGTCAATTGGCGTCTTTCCACTGGAGTCCAGAGCTCCAGGATCAGCTCCATAAACCGCCAAGAGTTCAGCTTGAAGAATCTGACCTGCCCTTGCTGCTATATGTAGTGGCGTGGTTCCTTTTTCCTAATATCACAATCAAACTAAATTTACACTTTTAACTTGCATTAAAAACATGATATAAATAAAGCAACAATCTGTTTTCAAGTCCTACTGGATGGAAGAAGTTAGCCTGTGCTCCTAGAGATAAGAGACGAAGGCAGGTCTCCAGGTTCCCAGTCCGAACACTGGAGTGGAGTTGCTAAATGAAAATACGAAACAGGTTTGTTAAGATTTTATTTTGAGGTCCACTTATACATTGATTAATTCATTGAATTAGCTCAGTGTTCATGAAATTGTCTTATGACTGACATCAATAGCTAGAGTATTCATGAAGGAAGTTATGAAGCTGTCGGTTTTTGCAATTTGACATTTCTTTTTTAAGCCAGACCAATGTGATCAAAAGTAATCTTAAAAGCACAACTAAGAGCAGTTTACTAACCTATAAAAAGGCACATCAGGAAAAATTTTTTATAGAGCCTGAACTAATTTACATAACTCATGCAGGAACGAGAACTACTCTTCCACTGTTGCTTTGACCAAAACGTTTTATCCTTATATTGTAAGTGAAAGACAGTAATGTAAAAACAATTGTTTACCTTACTGAGGTCCTTTGCAGTTACACTGTCATCATCACGACACGGCATCCGGTGAACGTAAGCCAACATCTGATACTTTGCCTTGATGAACTCAGTCTTGTTGGGACTAGAAATAAAAACAATATATACAGGTAAAAACTGAAGGAAAATTGCGTGTCATTGCCATTTTACTGATTCCAATGTTCGACAACATCTATCCGGTAAAAATAGGGATTAATCTATTTAGATCAAAAGAGAGGAACCTATGAATCCTCAGCAGGTCACAGAGTGTGTTCACAGGCTAGCGTGGAACCACTTTTATTAAAGGGAAACCAATAAAGAAGGTGATCTAGAGTTTGGGGCATATGGAGAGCTGGATCTGTCAGAAGGAAATCAGGGAAGTGACCGTATTAGACTTTGTCTATAAAAATGTGTAACAAGATGACTTTGACACTTGGGCTAAGACGCTGAAAATCTCTCACAGGCTGCAGGGTCAGATTAAGTGCACATTTAAACACATTTATTTCTTTGAATTACCTTGTGTTTCAATTATTTTACTGACAAAGTAATAAAAAACTTTGAACTTAACATAATTAGAGCGATGTGGTAATTTTGAAAGAAGCTCGTCCTGGTTTAGGAAATGTTTAAACAAACAGGAAGTGGCTGTAGGCTTTGTGTTTCACTAAAAAAACTCAGCTCAGTCAACATTCCCAAAAATGAACGGGAAGTCTGACTGAGGAACAAATTTGGCACAGATTTTTTACACCCTTAATATATGGTAATTCAAAAGGTTAGCAATTCTATGAGAAAGCTCCAACAATTCCTGTGGGCTGTGTGCTGAAAGCATGCATTAGCTCAAACGGGGTGAACTAAACCTAATTGTGCTGTGGTAATATACAGCTGAATGTTTATCTTTAGTCCTGGAGCTTGAACTTAACTAAACACCCAACAAATAAAATTGAACACCCAGAAACGGATGTCATATGCAAACATAACACTCCTAAAGATTTAGTCTGCCTATTGTTTCAAATGTGTATGGGACTACATGCAACAAGCAAACTAAAGGTTATACATTTTTCCTTCACCACTATAACATACAACGTAAGGGCAGGGTTTGCACACTTTTTTAAACTAAACTGGTTCAGTTCATGAAAAGATTTAGGACGTCCTCCAAGTTTTCTCTGACTGCACTGCAAAGAGTCGTGTCAGAGAACAGAAGGCCAATTGTTCCTATTCACTGACCCCAAGTATGAAAATCAATGTTGTCTGCAAGGAATTATACAACGTGCAAGCAAGCATTCCCCACTCCACAATGACACATATAAATCCTTAAAAACTACTTACTGAACTCTGTCCTGAGGGTTGGCTTTTCGCTTCCCACTCGCTGATGAGGAAGGATCCAGAAGGCTGTGTTCCCATATGGAATTTGCGCCATTACCATACAATGTCTGGACCATCTACAGCAAGAAAAAAAAAAAAAACAGCTGATTAGCTTTAATAAAATCCCTTCAACTAGTTTACATTTTATCATACCAAAACCACAGACTTCAATTTTTTTTTTACTGAGATCTTACATAATGGGCTAACGCTACGTTTGAAAATAATCCTAGTTAGATATCAAGAGTAGAGTACATGGCATCATGAAGATCAGAGAACACAAATAACATATCTGGGATATAGGATATACAAAGTCCTTTAAGCTTGGATAAGTTATAAGGAAACAGCCCGAGCTTAAAAGATCTCACATATCATCATCGGTCAAACAATCAGGCTCAAAAGTAAAGGATGTGAAACAGCAATCAAGTAGAATCTGTCCCACACTGATAGGCTGAACAAGGAGAAAATAAATCAGAGTAACTTTTAAGCATCTTTTAAGAATCTATACATTAGTCTTTCTCTTCTAATATCAAACTAAATAAAACCTTTGCAATTTACCAAAGCAGTGGACTTAGAAAACTTGTGAAAACAAATGATCTAGTTATAAAGAACCAAAATCATATTTTTTTTTAAATTCTGCAAAACAATAAATTCAGTTTAAAGGGGATGCTGAACATAACTGTGAAAGTAGCATCCCACACCATGAAATCTGAGGAAGAAAACTTGTCTGAAGCTGTAAAAGACTAGAGCTTTGGACAGATTTTCACCTGTCATAAAAAACTGAATGCCCCAAATTCAACCTGATGGACATTGAGCTATTAGCAATGGGGTTAAAAAAAAAAATGAATCGACCACCAACAGAGTGTGCAAAACTGGTAAAAGCTAGCCAAAATATGTATGTAATGATAATTCACACCAAAGTGCTTTTTTTTTTTTTTTCAAAGTATTGACTAACAGGGCAGAGAAATATTACAAATATCTCAAAATATAACTCAAAAGTTAGGTTACAAGGTTTATTATTTAAAAATAATATAGAATTTTCCATCAATTTTACAAATAAACTTTGGCATATACTTATTGGTTAGTGTAAAAATAAACCCATCAAGTATTTCTTATTTGAAATATTTGCCCTTGATGTTTTCTCTGATGCTTCTGTATTACTCACCTGCAGCTGAGAGGGGGGCCAGGAGGAATGAGTCAGATGCCTGACTTGAGAGCTGTGTCGCCCCAGACCTCGGTGGATGCTGCAGCACTCGTCGCAGATCAACACACCCCTGTTTACCGAGGCCCAACGGGGCTCTGCAAAACACACGCGATGTTTCTTCATGAGCTAGCTCCATCATATATAAAAACCAACCATTACTTACGCAATTAACCTCAAGCATAACAATCATTAGCAGTTTAGATGCTTCCATGTAGCTCCTAAATGTTGGAATACAAAAATCACGGATTTTTGTATTAAATCGAGTATCCAGTCCGGATAGAAGGATTTTATGTTTAAGGGATAGGCGCTACCAAATGTATCTAATTAAGCTAGCTCCTTGTTGGGACATGTACGTTAATTATTTCAAGCAATGTTAGAATTATACAAGTTTAAATTGATACAACGAGACAACACCATAAAAAACATTGCTCACAAGTAGAGCATTTTTAAAGAAGTGAAGTTAGCAATATCACTAGCTGTCAATGAGTTGCCACCGTTCCGTAATATTAATTATTTAGCTAACCGGACGTAGCCGTTAGTTAGCGGGTTAGCTAAGCTGCTAAGGGTTAGGCTAGCTTGTCTGGCACCGTACCAGGGGCGCTGCAATCAGCGCAGACCTCCCGGCTTCGCACTCGCTTTGACATCCCTTGGAGTCCTCGGAGTCTGGGAAGAGAAAATATTTTCCTAGCGTATGTCACAGCGCATACAGTCCGGGTCTGTATGCTGTGTCTGTAAAAGGCAAGCAAAGCAAGCGGCTGTGGTTCTGCCTGTCCTCCTCCCTCCTACTGTTGAACAAAGCGACGTCTCGTTCCAATACGTACTCTCTCTGCCCCCTTGCCTGCTTCCTTCGTCCTTTCCTTCCATATCTTTTACTTTTCATACCGGAGTTCGTTGTTTGATATATTTTTTGTATTTCTGGTTAAGATGTGTAAATATATATACATATATATTACATATATACATATATGTTAAAGAAAAATTAAAGCATGCATATACACACAAGAGTAAAAGCGTTTAAAAAAAAAGACAAAATAACCATAAAGATAAAAAAAAAAATAGAACAATATACTGTCCACTTATTAGGAATATAAAATTTAGAAATATTGCTGAAGTGTGTGAAAATCATGTATGTATATTTATTCATTAAAAACAGCACCAGACTAGTTAAAAAATTGCAAAAAAGCACAGATTTTAAACACTTATTGAATCTCAACACAGCCAAGATGGTTATAAAGTCCAACAGTTACTGGGATAAAGGATCTAGATTAACGCCCCTTTTTGCATCTAGATGCAGCAGTCCTCCAATAGAGGTGTGCTCTAGCCCTACAACAGTTTCATGCATGGATGGGAGACATTGTTTAACAACAATGTTATTTTTTATTTTATTTTTTATGTGGCCTCTTACAAATTGAACAGAATGTTTCAAGTTGTCAGAGTTCAATGTTTTCCAGTGTAGTCCTGTTGTTTTCCAGTGTAGTCCTGTTTCTCTGACCGTGACTGGCTGGATGTGCTCCCATGTCATCCTCTGACATTGGAGCTGGCTCGGCGCTTGTCTGCCTGGCTGTGTGTTTCCTGGATGAGGCTGCCTTTTACAGCTGCTTTTTGTATCTCTGCTTCTGCCTCCTTGAACACCAGTCGGCCTCGGCAGATGGCCGCTCACACTGAGCCTGGTTCTGCTGGAGGTTTCTTTCTGTTAAAACTGAGTTTTTCCTCTCCACTGTCGCTACAAGCATGCTTAGTGTGAGGGATTGCATTTGAGTCAATGAGTCAATGCAATCAACTGGTTTTACTTAGATAGAAATTCAAATTGATTTACTTTGAACCAATTTGACTGTATGATCTGGTTGAACTGTAAAGTGCCTTGAGATGACTTGTGTTGTGAATTGGCGCTGTATAATTAAACTAATTTGGATTTAATTGAATGAAGAGAGTATCCTAGATAGAGCTGGCCATCCTGATAAGCTTATCTAGTCTCATTTTTTCTCAGCTGTAGAGAAGCTGCTGCTCCAACAAACAAGATTGCTGATGCCATCATAGAGTCAAAAAAAGGTCTTCATGGGAGCTCTCTGCCCTACAAAAGATCCTACTCTCCTTACCAGGAAGATTCTGTTCTGCCCCTTCCTGTAGAGAGTATTGGTGTTGTGACTCCAGTCAGTTTATTGTTCAGGTGAACACCCAGATACTCATGAGAGTCCACTATCTCAATATTCGCTCCCTGGATGTCAGTGTTCAACTTCTGCATCTGCAGAAGTCAACCACCAGCTCCTCAGCTTTCCCTGCATTGATCATGAAATGGTTCCTCTGGCAACAGTCCACAAGTCCTTCGTCGGCTGTCTGTACTCCAAGTCTTTCTTACCTGTAATGATGCTGACTAGCCGAGTCATCAAAGAGCTTTTCTAAATATCTGTTGACAGTCAGCAGTTCAGCTGCCCTAAACAGGCAGCACATTTTCCTAACAAGTCTTGGAACAAGTTGAAACACCTATTTTATATGGCAGCCACTTCTGCTTCAATATAGCAATTACCCTCTGCACTAAATGATATGTAACCTGGCAATTAGTCCTTGACTCTAGTGGAAGCAGGGAGGTGTTAGTTGTTAAATAATATACAGCAGCTTCCACAAATCTAAGTGTTTGTAGCATTTCACGTTTTTTTTTTTTTTTGACAAGCACTTTCATGCACATTTTGTGCAATTTTCATGTCTGAATGTCCTAATCTACACTTCTAAAATGTTTTTTGGAGTATTTTTGTGTTTGTGCAAACATTAATACTTGACAAAATTGCATCACGTTATAAATGTTACATATCTTAATGCCAGTTTATGGTTATCCATCCATCTTCTGATACACTTTAGATTTAAATTCACTGTAGATAATTTACTGTACATGTATACTAGATAAAAAGGTTAATAACCTATTTTTTTTTTCAGAGATATTAAATCAAATTAAGCTTTTCCTGTAGCTCAGTTAGGAGAACAAAACTGCTTCTGTCTGCCCAATGCCAGAATAAGGAGAAATTATTTTTAGAAAGTTTTTTTTTCCTTTAAATTAATAAAATCCATTTCCTTAGTATCTGATGGAAATGGATTTCAAAGTGTATGACTTGAGTTAGTTATTTTTGGCATCCTCCCACAAGCTTTGTGTGTGTTTGGGATGTTTTCCTTTAAATGCATCCAGATGTACTTCCACTTTACTTAAATATTTGTAAATTAGCTTCAAAACTTCAAATTCTTTCATGTTATAAAGGTGTAGAGTTCTTATTTTAAATGCACATTTGAACCTCTTATCCCATATGATGATATGTGGTTTATGTTTGTTGTTTATTACAAAATATCCTGTCCTTGATAGATCTCCTGATAAGAGTTATGTTTGTAATCCATAGTTTATATTTCTTAAAGTTGATCTTTTATTTTATTATCCTCTCTTCAAAATGAGAAAGATGATAGAACATGACTTTCAGGTAAGACATACATAAGGTTTTAGGTTTTAAAAGTGATAATGCTACATACAACAAATACAAAAAAAAATCTCTTAATTATTTGCAAAATACATATCTACTTAAAGATAAAATAAAGCTATTCTTTGGAATATTAGGTCAATGTCCATTCATAATTTAGAAATATAGCATGTTTTTGACTTGAAGTCAAAATTGACAACTTTTAATCAAAGCAGAATAGAAGTTATGGCCACCCCTACCATTTTTTTCGCCCTCTAATACAGACGGTGGCAGCAGTAATACTCTCAGGGGAAATGGTCACTTATTAAACATTTTAATTTTTCATATTTTCAAAATTAATAGACAACTAATATGCTGTGGTTAATTATGCACATTAAAATACTAACATTAAAGTTGATATGTACAGAATTCATGCTCACTTCAGAGCAAAATTTTTTGTTATATGGGGTAAAGAGAAAGTCATCTAGGAGTCTTAAGTGAAATTATTGATAAATAACTACTTTAATAATAACTTAAAAATCCATTTAATGTAGATATTTGTACATGTAAATATTAATTTTATGCAGAACATTTTCTGATAAAAGTAGGTAAATAAAGATGGGAAAGATGTTCGCCCCAGAAATTTTGTCTACCTTTTACTACCTTTTATTTAGACAGCATGGATGTTTAAATATATGCATCTATTAGTTAGCCAAGGCTGTAGGAAAGTATAGTTTGTCTTTATTTAGGAAGCATGGATGTTGTGCTCGTTCCTGTTGGAACAGTCAGAGGCACATAATATTAAAAATATGGATGTTATGCCGGGCATAACATCCATATTTTCTAAATAAAGACTAACTATACTTTATATATGGGCGGTTCTAGACAGGGCCCAAACGGGCCCAAACTCTGTTTTACTAATTATTTAAAAACAATAGGATGATAGCTTCAGTGGTGAGTTTTCATCTACTAAAAGTTTTTTTCAAAACACAAAAAATGCTCTAAATTTTACAGCTGAATTTATCATTTTTTCTTGAGTTCTAATTCAGATTTAATAGAAAGCGGTCATTTCAACTTAAATTCAGTCAAAAATATGTAAAATTCCTAAGTTCTGAATGTATGTTGACCTAATAAGACATAGAATTTTAATTAAACCTAACTGAATAGAAATTTCACTTAATGGAGCTCTCTTAATATATTTGAATTCCTTGCGCTGTTTTCTTTATTTCATGCATTTCTGGGCCCCCATGGAAACACACTGGCCCCCTCCTGGCCCCCTGGTACATTCGGTCTAGAACCACCTCTGTTGTGCCCATTCATTTTCCTGTTGTAGATTGACCCTGAGGTTCTGGCTCCTATCCACTTCTCAGTGTACATTAGTTTTAACTGGCCACCCCTATTAAAATTTTCTGGCTACGCCTCTGTGTTTTTGTATTATGTCATTACTAGAGGGGCCCAAGCAGAGGCGGAGCTAGATGGGTGGCCAGGGGTGGCCATGGCCACCCTCAGCCAATCATTGGCCACTCCTGTGGCCACCCCTACCATTTTTTCCTCTAATACAGACAGTGGCAGCAGTAATACTCTGAAGGGGAATGTTTAAACTTATTAAATATTTAAATGTTTAATATATATTAACAACTACTTGACAACAGAAAATGTGGTTAATTATGCACATCAATATGCTAAAATTAAAGATGATAGATACAGAATTTGTGCTCTTTTCAGAACTTTTTGAATTATTTGGGTAAAGATAAAATTATGTGCCTCTGCAAGTCATCTAGGAGTCTTCAGTGAAATCATAGATAAATAACTACTTTAATAATAACTTAAAAATTAATCAATTGTGGATATTAGTACATTTAAATATATATTTTTTTGCGCAATGATTATTGATAAAGGTAGGTATGTAATGATCTCAGAACATTGGACCCAGAATTCAAGGCGAGACAGGCAGTGGGAAAGTTCAAAGCGTTTATTAACCAAAACAGGTGCGCGGGGCTGCTCGTCTGCTGTGGGGCGGATCTCTGCAGGGATATGAGAATACAGGTCAGTGACTGGATGTGGAGCTGAGTATGACTTGGAGCTAGTCACTGACCTGATTCAAAGTTCAGTCCGTTCGCGGAGCTTTGACCGCAGTTGCAGCGGGCGACGCCCCCGGAGTTCCTAGAGAGCGAGCAGCAGACGCCGAGCAGCAACAGAGTCCAGAAGGGAAATCCAAGGCCGAAGTCAGGAGACAGTTCCAGGTTCATAGCCGGTAGAATCCAGGATCAGATGCGACAAACAGAGCAGACAGGGGCAAGGCAAAAACTCGAGATTCACAGGGCAGAAAACTGGTCACAATCAGGGAAACAGACAGACTAAATATTGCTCGGAAGCGTCTCACCAAAACAAACGAATAACCTGGCGCTGATGGGAGGCAAACACACAACTTAAATAGTAGAGGAACCAGGTGGAAATAAACGGCGATAATCAGCCGCAGAACCAATTAGACAGGGGAGCAAGGAGCAAAGGAAAAAAACCAAATCAGCGCCAAGATCATGACAAGGTAGTGAAAATGTAAAATGTGTTCGCCCCAGAACTCAAATCTGAAAGAATTGTGTCCACTATACCTTTTATTTACACAGCATAGATGTTTAAATATATGCATCTATTTGTTAGCAAAGGCTGCAGGAAAGGATAATTTTTTTTTTTTTTTTTTTTTTTTAGGAAATATGGAAGTTTTTCTCGTCCCTGTTGGAACAATGTAGATTGACCCTGATGTTCTGGTGCCTTTCGGCCCCCCTCAATGTACATTGGTTATTGCCTGGCCACCCCTATTGGGATTTTCTGGCTACGCCCCTGCTAATAGGGGCCCCGGGGCCCGTGTCTAGAACCGCCCATTTCTGGACCCGTCACTTATGATCTTTCGTGCATAAATATTTATCAATTTAATTATGCTAACAGATTAGAAGAGGATTAGAGGAAAGTATTTGTGCGTGTGTTTTTCCATGGGACAATAAATGTGCGTGCTGTCTCTTTGCAGTGGCTCTGTGGCTTTAAAGGGGAGGTGGTTCGCAGAGAGATAGAACATAGGTTTAATGTGCTCGCTTAAAACACTTCTCTGATTCTCTCTCTTCTTTCCCTCCGCAGATTCCCAGACCTTCTCCAGAAAGCTGCGCGCACCCAACACAGAGCGATGGGAGGTAATCACCATCATCATCACCATCATCATCATCATTCATTTCTCCACGCAGGAAGGATCTGATCTGCATATTCATCATGTTTTCTCCCGTGACAGAAGCCGAGACGCGTCAGAAGTTGCTTCGCAACGTGAAGAAGGAGGTTTGTAACATTTTAAGAAAACATTCATGTTTTTATTTAGGCTGCTACTCGGTTCTCTTCGTGTTTACCAGAGCGTGACGAGCGTGTACGTGGGTGTGGGTTGTAGACGTCGCTCCACGGGGTCTGCCAACAACGCCACAGGCCTATCTGTGATGAAACCTGCAGCTTTATTCTCCTTATAAATAAGACCGCTCTGTTATAGTGAAGGTGGATGATGACGATGGTGGTGATGGTAGTGATGACGATAATACCAATAGGGATGATTGTAAATGTTGCACCTAACAGAAGCCATGCAGTGAAAATAGCTGCATTTTAATCTGTCTGCACGAAGAAATAAAAATAAACATTAGCCCTTCAATGCTTTGAAACTTGCAGCTGTGACCTTGCCATCTGCTTCATTTTAGATGTTCCAAACAGCTGCACTATTCAAACAGTTTGTTTGTTCTTTGCACAAAAAGCTATAAAACCAGAGAGCTTACATTGCATTCAGACTGCTGGGTGACTTTGTTTCCATAAGAGAAGAGAAATGTGGGTTTTTATCATTGCTTAGAGAACCTGGTCCAAACTGACTTTTTTTTGTGTGTCCATGCTTACACTTACCTGTGACTCACTGCTTCTAAAAAAAAAAAACCTCTGTGACTGGTAGCCAAGAACCTGCAGCAGGCATGATTTATATTTCAATGTAGAAATGTTTGCAAGTTTGTTACATCTGCTTATAACAAAGCAGCAAACTTCACATTTTCTTTATTATGCATATAAAATTGAGGTAAGCACAGACATAGAGCTTGCCCATAACCTGCATTATTGGTATTTATGAACTGAACCAAATTTTTTGGGGTCCTTTCATGGAACACTGTCCTTGTTGTCGTAAACATTCAGTTTGTGCAGCATTTAGTTCAGCGCAACATTGTGGGTGCATCAGAATATGTGTTTGTAACATCAAGTCTCTAAATGTGCAAAGCTGGTAGATTCATGACCTAAAGGTCTTGCATCTGTATTTGCAAGTTGGAGTTCACAAACTAGGAATTTTTTATGGTACAATCGTGCAACATGAAACATATAATATGGAATAGGTAAATAAAATTATAAAATTATCTAAAACACTGTGGGTATAAGGCATGCAATAAAATAGACTAATATATACACTTAATTGAATAGAAATGTGCAGCATTTTTCAGATATTCACAATTAGGGTCTACATTTTGTTGATTTAAAAAGATATTAAGAGAAAACCTTAGAGTTCAAGAGGATCTATAGTTTTGTTTGACAATCCTCTGTCTTTTGGGGGATGCACTGGCTACGAATAAGGCTTTTACTGGTTGATATTTTTCTTTGTTTCTTTTGTTTCGTTTCCTTTTAAGTATAATCCCAAAAGGATTTTTTATTTCTGGTCAGTCACAATTTTCTATAACAAATCCATAAAGTAAAGGGAGATTTACAATTTCACAGGGAAAAAAATCTCTGGCTTGAAAGTCATGTTGAATACAACAGAAAAGCTAAAGGTAAACTTTATTCAAGGCCAGAAGTGAGCAATAAAAGAAGACCAAGTATTCGTGCTTGGTTGATCATTTTAGGCTTTTGCTTTAACTGTTCAGTTATGTGATGTTATATGAAAATAGACAGGTGGAACACTATTTGCCTTTGTCTGGTGTTTATTTTTTGAGTTGTAGGACTTTGAAATCTTTTTGGTGTTATTTGATAATCTAGGAGATATGCATCTCACATTTGATGGACACATCAAGAGAAAAAAAATCTCTTGATGCGTCACGAGATGTATTTTGACACAGCAGAGCTGTAGAAAAGAGTAATTCCCAAACAGCCTTGTTAAAGAAAGCACCAAATGTTGACACCAGAGATTTCAATCTTCAATCAGACTTATTCTGAGAAGTTAAGGACACTGAGCCTCATGCAAGAACTGCTGGTACGAAAAAATATGTTCTTAAATTGTTGTACGAGGGATTTAGAAAAGAAACAACAATCTGCAATTAAGCTACTATTGAAATCTGGAACAGAAAATGGATAGATAGTTCAGAAAAACTGCTTTAATGGTGAGACTTACATTCATTTCACTCCTTGGCAGCTCCTTGGCTTTGTTATTACACTAAATGCAGATTATTTGGATTTGGGACTGTATGAATTTGTAGTCTGAAGATATACAGTACATCTCTGTTTATTAAAAGGAGATTTTGCAGAAAGTTGTCGTGTTGGTTGAGCCTAAACTTACATTAAGTATATACAGCATATGTTGCACCTCTTGCAACTCCATTAGTAGTTTCTGTTGACTGTTTTCGGATCAAATGATTTTTTTCTTATATATTATTTTTATTCCTTTATTTTACTTCTGTAACAGTATAACAACTCATTCAGAGCTCTGGTAATTTATTGCCCACTGCTTGGCTTTTTACGGCTCCTTTAATTCTGATCCTCAGCTGTCAGTCATACCTTGAACCCCCAACCAATAAAGTCCTTCTTTTTCATCTTCAATGCCATTTCCATAAATAAACATCTGCATGTTCATTCAAGGAGGCACGGGAATCCATAGCCTTATATGGATGAATCTGAGTGTTTATTATGCAGATTTACAATTCTATAGGACTGCATCGCGTTTAAGAGGATTATTTACAATCATTCACTGAAGTTAAGAATGTTTTTAGAACCTGATGTGTTTCATTCGTTAAAGCCCACGGTAGGAGAAAAAGCATGAGTTTACAACAGGAGGACAAAAATGTTGCATGAGGCGCACTGTTTCTATTAACCATCTGCTCTATTAATGTTAACTGTAATTGCAGATTTTTATATTCATTCATAAGTCTTTGGCACATAATGTAGTACCATGAGAAAGTATTCTTTCACTTGCAAATTTGTTTTTATTTTATTTTATTTTTTCTTAATACTAAAAACAAGATAACCCAAATGTTTAAATGATTTGTATAAAGCTGAAAAAAGCGGAACCACTTTACCTTTACGTTAAATCACATACACATCCAGGTCTGATAACTGTCTGATGCATGGAGTCACAAGATAAAATAAAATTCAATTTGTTTGACAGTATTCAGGAGGCTAAAAAAAAAATCACAGCATGCTCAAATTTAAATAAATTCAAAAATACATTGCAGCCATTGTCACATATTAGTCAGGAAAACCCACTTTAAACACTTTTTAATCCATAATGAAAGCCTTTATTTACACATGCACTGAGAAAATGTGAAACAGTTGAGAACCGTCCCAGAAGAATGGATCCGATTATAATTACTTAAGGAACATATTTAGAGTCTCTCTTGTGTCCTAAAGGAGTCTAAGAGAAACATTTTAACCACAGACTTGATTTTTCAACGTTCATGGTACCCTAAAGAACAACATCCAACCTTTAGCTTGTGACCTTTGTTTCAAGGTCAAGATCTATGCTGCAGTGACCATATGTAGACTAGCAAGCTCACCTTTAACTAAGCACAAAATAATAATAACAATAAAAATTTTGAAGGTTTTAATGTGGACCTGCTTAAGTGTCCCCTTAAATCGGATCAATATACTTTGTGAGATCATGAATAGATTGTTTATACTTAAAAAAAATCTGCAAAGAAGAGCAGACAAATGTTTCTCTACAGGGAAATGAATTTTGTATTTACAAAGTATTTATCTTTTTTGTCACTTTTACCTTCCAAAACAGAGAAGTCATGGCTTTGTAAATTGTTATTGTGAACTTAAAGCTAGTTCCACATTCTTCTTCTCTCCTTTAGGTGAAGCAAATTATGGAGGAAGCAGTAACGAGGAAATTTGTGCATGCAGACAGCAGCCACATTATCTCCTTCTGTGGTAAATACTTCTATGCTGCTTATTTTTTACCTACAACCTATGGGGATCCTGTTTGTTTTTGATGCTTTTTTGTTTATATTGGAAAATTAACTGAATAAAATATGGAGCTTGTAAAATGATTAAGTCAAGTTTTTACTAGCATTATCTAGCATATCAAAACTAATTACTTAGTGGTTGACATCATGTTGTGTCAAGTCCTGCCACCTCCTACGATTTTATCCACATTCCCCTAAAGGTCATGTGCAGATTGTTTAGACAACACAAGTCAGTATGATTTACTTTCTGTCATCATGTCTGCTCATATTTACGAGGGTGGGTGGATGGATAGATCCAGTGTATTTTAAAGCAGACTGGCGCCTTTCTGAGGTGTTGATGCTAACCAGGAGTGAGACATATGTGATTCACCTTTCTTATATCCTAGCAACCAAAGACAGCCCAGATTTCAGTGTATTTTTTTCTCATCCCACCTGTATTTTCTTCATGTGTATTTCCTTTATTAAAAAAAAAAATACCTTGGGAATAGAAATGCTTCAGGCTTTCGGATAGATAAACTTTGTTGTTTTGAAAATAAACAAATTTGAGTAGCAAATTAAATTCCAATATCTGCGGACTGATCAAAACTGTGTGTATGATTATGTGTTTATAGCTGTAGTAGAAGCATGCGTGCTGCATGGACTGAAGCGTCGAATTGCAGGCCTGCTGTGCAGTAATAAGGTCGCTGCACTCTTTATGAAGGTGGGAAAGAGCTTTTCTCCCGCTGAGGAGCTCTGTAGAAAGGTCCAGGAGCTGGAGCAGCTTATTGAAAACAGGTAAAATGACTTCCGTCTGCCTTCCTTTCCCTTTTAGCTGTTTCTATATTCTGGATAAGAACCTGATTTTGTTACTTTATTTTTTAATATTGTACAACTATTGGATATCTGGTATTTTTCAGACAAATATTGGTTCATCTTAAGAAAAGGGATAAAAAAGACGATAGGCTCATCTTAATCTATTAAACCGGAGATTCTCAAAGTTATGAATGCAAGATTTTCGGAATCATTTATTTGAATTGAGAGCCAAATAGGACAAATTTTGGTACATAGATATATTGTCAAATAAATGATTTATTTATGATCTATTTATTTATTTTGTGCATTACAGAATAATAAAACATTGAATTATGAAATGCATAATTCAGTAATTAAATGTCCCATTAGACAGTTTAAAAAACTTCTGAAATTATAAAGTGAGATAATGAAACTTTATTGTAAAAATTGATTCTTTTAAGAAATGCTTCTGACTATTTCATCCTACATGATGAAGAGTCAAACACTGTTTTTTTGGAGGGTCTCCAGTTCACTAATAGAAAGTAGGTTTTGTCTTCACAAGCTAAAATGTATAGGAAACTCTGTTCTTAATTAAGGTAAATTAAGTAGAGGAAAGCTAAGCCTGCATATCACTCTGAACCAACCATTCCCCAACATAATACTGTTAATACTTTAAGAAAAGTTTCAGGAGCTGCAAAAGAAGACTGGTTTGGAGGTTAAAGAGTTAACCATGAGCATCATAAACCAGAGCTTTTTCAATGGTGGAATCATTGGCCACCAGCGGGATACAGTAGGTGACAGTAATTTAAATTTCAAGCCTGCATGTGAAGCACCATGTGTGATAAAACACAAAGGCTTCACATCATCCTAAACCCTTTTTCTATGTCACCCAATCTAAGTGTAGGTATGAATAAATTAAATTCATTTTATTTATTTATATAGTGCCAATTCACAACACATGTCATCTCAAGGCACTTTACATAGACGAATCAACCATTTCCTACAGTCAGATTAGATTGATTCAAAGTATTCTGTCTAAGGAAAACCAGCTGATTGCATCGACTCATTGACTCGAAGGCAATCCCTCACACCAAGCATGCTTGTAGCGAAAGTGGAGAGGAAAAACTCCCTGAAATGTGGACGTTTGTTGCAATACATACAAATTGCATACCACGGGTTGCAAATATTTGTCTGTAAAGTTTTTCAAAGTCCTGTGTTAATGTCCTTACATCACCTGGAATACATGACTTTGCGTTGGTCGATCCAATAAAATCTCAGTTGAACCAAATTTTAAATTTGAGACTGTAGCATAAAATGTCAAATACATTTGCAAGATGCTTTATGCAGTGATTCCTTAGAAAAAGAAACCTTTTAAAGATATTGTTTATGTGTGTATATAAGTCTTTGTGCGACAGTAGCCTTGGTTGCAGGGGTTTGCCCTGCAATCGATAGGTTGTCGGTTCAAGCCCTGGCTCTGGCTTTCAGTGTCGTTGTGTCCTTGGGCAAGACTGAATGACTGAATGCAGTGTAAAGCACTTTGGTCAGTCTCCTGACTTGAAAAAGCGCTATTTAAATACAGGCCATTTACTTTAAAACAACTAATATAGAGTTATCAAATGCGCTTCTTTCCTATACATCGTTTTTATCATTATGTTTGTTTGTTTTTTTTGCTCTCTATAGCAAGCAGAACATTTCTTCACTCAGTAACGACCGCAGTCGGCAGTCAAAGTTGCCCAACCTCCCTCCTCAGGCTCTGAAACATCTGTGGATTCGAACAGCCTTGATGGAGAAGCTTCTGGACAAGATTGTTATGTATTTGGTTGAAAACAGCAGGTATTACATGTTGATTATTGCGCTTTGGACCTGATATGAGAGTACTCCTCTTTGTATGGAATTGTTTGATAAAAGTAGCCCTATAAAAAGATGTTATTTTCTCTGAACAAAAATACTTCAATAGAGCTTAAACTATGAACCATTTATTCAGATTCTTCTCTTATTTTTTATTTTGTGTACCCCAGCAAATATCTCCTCAATTATGTTCCTACATATGTGTTTCAAAATATTTCTAAGAAATATGTGAAACATTCTGAATGTGTTTCTACAATTTGTCTTAGTGGATTTTATGATAAAGAAGCCATGCTGATGGATCCTGTGGATGGACCAATCCTTGCATCTCTTCTCGGTACTTTCTCTTATTATGCAAACTTTCACTTAAGAAAATAATTCAAAGAAGTATTTTAAAATAACTAATCTTGTCTTCCAGTTGGGCCCTGTGCGCTGGAGTACACCAAAGTGAAAACGGCCGACCATTTCTGGACAGATCCGTCTGCGGATGAGCTGGTCCAGCGACATCGAATCCACAGCAGCCACTGCCGACAGGATTCTCCCTCTAGAAGGCCTGCCTTGGTATGAAGTATAAACTACTCATACCTCTCATCAATTGCACTATTGTTTCAACATGTTAATGTTTTTATGATTTCTTATCAAAATACCAGATCCAAAAGAGACAATCTAGCGGTAGCATGGATGATCGGCCTCTCACATGGGTGAGGGAGTATGTGGAGTCCCTCCACCAAAACTCCAGAGCCACCCTTCTGTTTGGAAAGAACAATGTTCTGGTGCAGCCGGTTAGTGCATCTTATTTGTATATTAGTAAAATAGTGAACCGATTTGATCTAAATGATTTAGTTATGACATTTTTTGATTGTGCTGCCTAAAAGATTGTTTTTGTGCTTGTAGAGAGATGGCATGGAGGCCATTCCAGGCTACCTTTCACTTCATCAAACTGCAGATCTCATGACACTCAAATGGACACCCAATCAGTTAATGAATGGCAACGTTGGGGAGCTGGACTCTGAAAAGAGGTTTTTAAAAACGATACATAAAGAGGAATTCTGGTTTTAAAACTGTACATTCATTCCTTATCTTTTTTTCAGTGTTTTCTGGGATTATGCAATGACGATTCGTTTGGAGGAGATTGTGTATCTCCACTGTCATCAACAAGGTATGTTAATCCCCCTTTAGTTTTTCTCCTCCAATTTACATTTCATCTCTATGAGTTATTCATCTGTATGTTGGTGATATCCCCAGTAAACAGCGGCGGCACTGTAGTTTTGGTCAGTCAAGATGGGATTCAGAGACCCCCACTACATTTTCCCAAAGGGGGTCACCTGCTTCAGTTTCTCACTTGTCTAGAGACTGGTCTGCTACCTCATGGACAACTGGACCCTCCACTCTGGAACCATAGAGGAAAGGTTAGTAAAACTTTGTCGAACCATACCTTTTGTACCTATATAATTTACTTAAGAGTCAATTTAATTCAGATAAGAAAAAAACAAAGAAAAGAATGAAGTTCAATTTATATTCAGTTATGTTGTATCCATTTGGACTGACATTCAGCTCTGACTGATCCATGCTGTTCCAGCTGAATATAGGTCTAGTTATTGATAGTAAAATTAAATCGATACATTTACCAACGATAGAAACAAGCAGAATATCAGTTTGATTAAGCCATGAGTACTTTCTATGAAAGGGAAAACAAAGGCGGTACTCACAGCAAAAAAAAAGAAAACTTAAATGACTTTCAGAAAACCTGGAAACACTAAACTTTGCCTCATTTTAAGCAAATACAAAGACATCAGGTGTGAAAGAATACTTCTTTCCAGTTCTGTTTTTCATGTAGTTTCTAGAAATGAAAATACCCCTTACTTGTTCTTTCCTTTTTTCTTTTTTTTTACTCTTTCTTTCCTACAGGGAAAGGTTTTCCCCAAACTGAGAAGGAGAAGTCCACACAGCTCATGTGATTCTTTCTCAGATAAGGAAGAGGATGAAGCAACTGATTATGTGTTTCGGATCCTCTTCCCCGGCAATCAGATGGAGTTCAGTAAGTGTCTTTAATCTCCTTAATCTGTCTCCTAGTGATGATCCATTAAAGAATCATTACAGATTACAACTAAGATTGCTTTTCTCTCTTAATAAGATCTCAGTTTAGTTAAACCATTTTCCCCAGGCTTCCATATTCCATATAAGTCTTGGTAATTAAGTTTGTTTTAATTTGAAAATGCTCTAGCTGTTTGTTTATTGTCTGGTTTCTTTCCCCATTATGGTCGTCTTGTCAGCAAAGTGCCTTTACATGGAGAGAAATAATTTATCTGCTTCACCTCCATCTGCATTCTCTCCTGTCTTTTTTTTTTTTTAGGTTTAACAGTTTAAGGAAATTAACTTTATGTCCAAATCTGTTTGTATTCACTTGCTGTGATCTTGCTTTTGATGCTGATAACACCGAGAGGAAATGACAAACGCTCCTGTATTGTGCAGTGCCTCTTGAGATGATGGACCAGGGTGTTAATATGTGGCAACCAACACCTAGAAAGTCCTCCTGCTCCTCCTGCTCACACAACGGCTCCTCTGATGGCTCTTTACCTAATGGCTGCAATCATGAAAGGTAAGTAGGCCCCAGGGATTAGCTATAATGAACATTCAGATTATTCCACATGACTAACTTGACAATTTTACCATCTTACCAGGGCTCCTATAAAGCTCCTTTGTGATACAATGAAATACCAAATAATCTCTCGGGCTTTCTATGGATGTAAGTATTAAACCCCATCCATATTTTTTTCTCAAAAATTAACCCAGACCAGCAGATTTATGAAATGAAAATAATTTATTTCAGACAATTTCAAGAAACAATAAATCAATCAATAAAATACACACAAAAAGAGACTGGTTAACACAAAATCAACCTCCAATTTCCAAACAAACTAAATTCACCTGAACATAAATAGAAACAAAACCCTTCACCAAATAAGCCTGTTGGTATATATAGCCAAAGAACAGATCTTGATTAATGTAAATGTTCTGAAAAGGGGTATGAAGAAGTAAAACTTATTCTTCATACCCCCTATCCCTCTAATTGCATTTTAAGTAACTTTCCTGTTAATCTTCTGTTTTTATCCGATATTCGCACACACATACAAAATACATATATACACGATTACATACACACACACACATATATACATACACAAATATATACATGTAAACATACACATACATACCTACTCAAACACATCAGGCCAAATCTACATTTACACCCTTGTACATCAGCACTTAGAGTACTGCAACACCCCCTCAATCAGTGTCGATCACTGATTAGTTACTTTATTCTTATTGAGTGAATGTTAAAAGTCTGCTGTTTTTTTCCCAGGGCTGGCATACTGTCGCCATTTATCCACAGTCCGGACGCACCTTTCTGCTTTGGTCAACACAACTATAGTTGATCCGGATGTACCTTGCCATGCACGGGGTGGTCTTACTGTGGAGGTTTGGGAACGTTTTCTCAAGGACAGCTCTGTAAGGTTCACATACATTGTCCTTCAAAATGTTTTGTTAGTTTCGCTGCAAGGAAATTCATTGAATACATTATTTAAGGCCTTTGAGGAGAAGGAGATACACAGGCTTGTGTATTTTGGGGGTGTGGCCTCATCACTTCGCAAAGAGGTCTGGCCCTTTCTGCTGGGACATTATCAGTTCACCACGACTGAGAAAGTCAGACTGGAGGTATTTCCTGCCTAATGCAAATATAATTGTTGACATGCTGATTTGGGCTTTGTTTTATAATATTTCAACTTTTTCTAGATCGACGATCAAATGCGAGCCATGTATGAACAGACAATGAAGGAGTGGCAGGGCTGTGAGGTCATAGTGCGTCAGAGAGAGAGGGAGAAGCATGCCGAAGCCCTTGCACGGTGTTCGTCTGGAGCCAGTGTAGAACGAGGGCCCATACAGCGGGACTCCACCATCAGCACAGACGCAAGTTTCATTTATACTCATTAAAAGAACAAAAAACTGTGTAATGAGACCATTGCATAAACATTTTGATTTATATTAGACTGTAGAAATAATTTGAGTTTTTTTCCTTTTATATATTTCACTCTAGTCATCTCTGAGTAGCAGCTCAGACCAGCAAAACACCCAAAGCCAGTGTGATTCCAGCAGCTGTGCTAAGGTAGTTCAAACAAATGGAACAATTAGACAATGTGTCTCTTAATATTTTTTTTTACTTAAGTTTTTTAAAGCACTTTTAATACAATGAAACACGTCTACACATTCATAATTTTTGCTCAGTTAACTGCACATATTTTTTAAGTAGCCTCAAAGATGTATGGGCATTACTCAAAAGTTCTTATATTATCTGTTACGAGAAATTTTCTGTAAGAAAAAAATATTTTATTTGCTAAATACTTGAAAAATGAGAAGCAGATTTATTAACATTTTCGAAAAACAGAAATTTACATGCCAAATGATTTCTATACCTTTTAAACTATGTGGTAAAGTCCATTTTTTATTTAATTGTTACTCTTCTGGGTTCTATCACAACATTTCAGTGAAGTGGATGCAACACCCAAGAAACTCTGCTTCCGTGTTATTTAATCTAAGTGTTACAAATTTAGATCTCTGGAAATCCCACGTTCATCTTTTTGTTCTATGCAAATATAAATACCATGTCAATGTCACACCATCCCACTGTAAATGAAAAAGACAGATTCTGTGTCCTAGAAGGGACTTTATTTGAACTCAAACTTAAGAAGAGGGTGGCTAAAGCTTAAGATAGTGCTGTTTTCCACAGCAATATAAATCCTGTTGTAACATAGGCTGAGACCACTCAGCAAGGAAGAAGCCATTACTCCAAGAGCAGCATAAAAAAACAGACTCTTATTTGCAGATGTAAAATACCTTTTAAGAGGTTCTGTGACCTTTAGAAATTCAAAACTGATGTCCTAAGTCATAATAATCACTATTAAATGTGTGGCAAAAAGGTGGAAACTTGCAAGTGAACAGCAAACACTCTGACAGCTGTGAAGCACACGGACAGCAGCAATGCATCAGGTGTGAAGTTTGTTTTTCCATCAAAGGAAACTGGTGCATTACACCTCATGAAATGACGTGTATATATATATATACCATGCTTTTACACCTTTACCCTTGCAGTTAACTCTAGTGGAGTTTGTTTTACTTTGTCTGGGGCTCAAACTGATTTATATTCTCTGTTATTATTAAATATATTACTGTGGCAAACTGGGACTAATTGAGGGCCGCCGTTGGCTAAACTTGTGGCTTGACTGTCTGTCAGACATGAATTCCAAGAAAACCTCAAAAGCTAAATCAGTTGCAATAGCATTTAGTCCTTTCATCCAGCAGATTCGACTCCATATCCAATCAAAGAATAAATTGTTAAGCTACAAACAGTCTGCAGAAATAGGTCATTGTAGTCAACACACATTATGATTACTGCCTGGCTCTCCCCACTTCCTCATCCACTCATTCTCACCAGACTGTGGATCACTATGTGCACCTATTCAAACCTTGTGACACACACACACCCACCACCCAGGTGCTGTTGCAGCATGTCGTCTGTCACCTAATGAGTAAATATTCAAGAACACTAGTATGGCTCCTACACATGTATCAATTAATTTTTTGCTGATTGATAAACTGTTTAGAGACTTTATTCATTTTAAATAACATTTTTTTTTCTTTCTCATTATCTTCCTTTGGTTACAAGGTATTTGAATCTGTTGAAGCTGAACCCATAGCTGAAGGAGAAGAGCTGCCATCTATTAGTCTTGTTAAGACCACAGAAGCTCCACAACCTCCTACCTGTGAATCCTCCAGACCTGCTGTATCAAATCAACATCCAGTTCCAGAAAGCTCCTCTATATGCGAGTCAGCAGATGAACCTGCAGCCTCTCAACAGACAGCCAAAGCATCAGAAACCTTCTGTGAAGAAACTACTGCCAAATCAGAACAAGCAGCTTCGGAATCAGCAGGACAAGATGTCAAACCTCCACATCCTGAGGAAGAGGCTGTGATACACGAGGAGGAGATGCATCTAAAAAGTGAGGCTTCTGCAGAGACGGAAATAAATAAGACCAAAGAGACATCTGCATCTGAGAGTAATTATCCCACGACCCAAGGAGTAGTAAAAGAAGTTGATACAAATATAAATGTGAAGCCGGCTCAAGAAAACACTAATGTTCTGAAGCTGGAAAAAGAAATACACAATGAATATTTCCAAGCACCTCCACTCGGAGAAACTTTGACTCTTCAAGCAAACAAGATCAAGGATATCGCAAGGGAAGGATCTTGTTCAGAGACGTCAAGAGAAAACCCAGATTCTCACAGTGACGAAAAGCCACAGGGTTCTACAAAAACTGAAAATGCAGAATTGGCTGTCTGTGACTTTGCAGAAACCAAAAAAGCTGCAGAGATGCAACTTGAGAAACCAGGCTCAAACTCTCCGGTCAGACAGGTGCTAAATGCTCTGCAGACAGCCTCAAGAGGGAGCTTCTCATTGTCATCTCACTCTCGTCAGTCTCCAGATGCAATAGATTCGGATGACTCTCCCTCGGCCTTGGAAATGGAGGACATTCCTGCTGGGATAACATGTGTGACTTCAGAAGACTTAAAGCCCAGACCGTTGATAGGGCTTGCTGCGCCTCCCATTTCCCTGGCACAAAGGGAGAAAATGGCCTCAGAAAGGCTGGCCCAAGATCACCATCTGGACACAGCATGCAACACCAGCCCTGAGGGCACTGATCTGGGTCTGTCTGAAGAGGAGGTGGAAATGGATAACGTGCTCACTGAACCAGAATCTGCAGAGATGGGAGGTGTGACTAAATATGAAGAATCCTCTGAGGAACAGACCTATTCTGTAAGCATTGCACAGTGTAAAGAAATTCATTACCTCAATTGCAAACATACACTTACAAATCTACTGCCATTTATTTTAGCAAGAAACACTCGATATGTACTTAATCAACTTGCATCGCATTGACAAAGATGTCAGACGTTGCGACCGAACGTACTGGTACTTCACCCCTGAGAATCTGGAGAAGCTGCGTAACATCATGTGCAGGTAAAACATGCTTTACTGCTAAATAAGCTGTTTTCTTCCTTGGCTATAACCATGCTTCTTGGTAATATTTTTTTTAATTAAAAGGCTTATTAATGCCTGATTAATGGTTCCATATTTGGAAGGATGTTTGTAGGTTTAGTAGCAGAAGTTAGGATGTAGGTCCTACTTATTTTTGAATTTTTAATTGAATTAAGCACAAGAAATACTTGCCAAATCCTCTCTGTTTATGTTAAACATAATATTTATGGAGGCAGTGTGATGCCGTCGGTTTGCATTTCCCTTAATTTAAGAAATAGGGATTGTTATATTAGATTAAATCTTACCGCAGAGATTTGTCAGGGTGAAGATATTGTTGCTACTGTATTGTATTGTATCCCCTTAGGGAGTTATGTCTATCCTCCTGTATGGTAACGCTTTTCTACACAGAGGCAATTCCTAATAGATAAGCTTCGCCTTGGTGATCATTTCAGAGTGATAAACACAACCACACTGCTTGCTAGAATTTTAAAAAGGGGATGCCATCCTGCAGCAGTTGGAACCAAGGCCTTGCTCAATATGAGGAGGAGGTGTCACACTGCAGTCTGTAGTTTTTTCACACACAACAGTGGCCCCTATTTATTAAATTAATTGATTGTTAAATTGCTATAATGACCAGCTTGCTATTAATAAAATTTCTACTATGACTCAGCAGAATAGACATCATTTTTTGCTTAGGGATTCATTAGCTAAATCCTCATCATCATCTGCTCAACTTCCAAGTATTTTCCTTATAAATGTTGCACCAATTAAAAATAATAATAATAAACAGGCTTTCCAGTGGTATAATATTTGCTGTAAAGACTTTACAATGAAGAAACAGACCATCAAATATAATTTTCCTTACTTCTTGTACTGAATATTAATGTAAAAATTTGCTTCAAACTCAAAATAAATAACCAAAAATGTGGTTATCATTACAGTTATGTGTGGCAGCATCTGGAGACAGGTTACGTGCAGGGCATGTGTGATTTATTGGCTCCCCTTCTGGTTATTCTGGATGATGGTCAGTAATATTCAAAGTCCACACTTTTAAGTTTTTTACTAATGTGCATTAATGACCCACCTTGTGTGCCTACATGTATGTCTTGGGGGGGATTTCCACAGAGGTAATGGCCTTTAGCTGCTTCACTGAACTGATGAAGAGGATGAACCAAAACTTTCCCCATGGAGGGGCCATGGACACCCACTTTGCGAATATGCGGTCACTTTTATTTATAAGTGAGTGCATTCTTTTTTTTATGTGCAAAACAAACAAAATAAAATAGTGATTAAATCATTGAANAAAACTTTCCCCATGGAGGGGCCATGGACACCCACTTTGCGAATATGCGTTCCCTTTTATTTATAAGTGAGTGCATTCTTTTTTTTATGTGCAAAACAAACAAAATAAAATAGTGATTAAACTAATTGAAAACTAGTTAAATGTGACATTATACCATTGGTAAATTTAGATTTAACCTTTTCTGTTAATTTGAAATATTCTGATCTGAAAAACAGGATTAAAAAAAAAAAAATCAGGTTTGAAATTTAAATAAATAAAAAAATAAATAAATAAATAATACCGGTAATTCTGGATTCCTCTTAAGGGGAATCAATATAAATGTCCTCCCTATAATGTTTCTTCATTTTGGACTCTCAGGCATATTTACTTTTTACTTTAACATCCGGTTGCAAACATTTGTGACAAACATGATGATTTATATTGAAACAGGAGTGTCTAGTATGTATTTCCCACATGTAAACAGAAACACAATGAATAGAATGTTGTTGTTTTTGTTTTACAAATGAAAATCTCAAAAGTGTTGCATACATTTTTTTTAAACCTAACGAGTCAGGTACAAATCTCTAGAGGTCTGAATAAACTTTACTCACCTAGAGAGTGAATTTTCTTCACATTCTCTTAGCAACAAGGTTTAGATCAGTCTGATTTAATGTAGAAAGCATGTTGATATATTCTTCCTTTTAGAGGTTGGTGCAAAATTTTTTTTTTTTTTGTCTTAACTTCACTGGGATCAAAACATTTTTTGATAAAAAATTACCAACATATGTCCATGGAGAAGGAGAATAATGTTTAAGACTCAAAAAACATTGAACACACATTTGGACTTTGAGCCATTCTGGCAGTATTTTGAGGATTTAAGGCTGAATTTGAGCCTTTACAATGCTCTTCAGTCGTACACCATCACCAACAGTTTTTCTTTTTTTTTTTATGTTGTCATGTATTTCTCTCTATCAAACCTGAGCAGGTTTTCTGTTTCTGTTGAAAAAAAGCATCCTAAGGCATTATACTCTGTGGGGGGAAAAAAATACTCTTATATCTAAATATCTTATTATAAGGTGAAAAAAATACTAATTCCATTGACAGATCATCTCATTTACCTATGCAAATTAACGGTAAATACAATGGTTTAATTATTTAATCACTTTTAGATTGTGTTTGCAGTGATAACTGTATGCAGAGTTATGCACATTAAAGCTGGGTTGCAGTAGTATTCCATTGGGCTCTTATACTTCAAGTAATATTAGATTCTCAGGTTGTGTTTATTTAAGCTCTGACAGATGCACACATTCACACATGCTGGTTTTTTGTTTCTCCAGATCCTGGACTCTGAACTGTTTGAGCTAATGCAACAGAATGGAGACTACACTCACTTCTACTTCTGTTACCGCTGGTTCCTTCTTGACTTCAAAAGAGGTGGGAAGGGAAATGCATGAATCATAGTTTAATTAACCCCCCTGTTAATTTGTCTGCTCTTGCATGAAGTATGCTAATAAGGTATTTCATTTTTTTTTTTCCAAATAGAAATGGTTTATGATGACGTGTTCTCTGTATGGGAAACAATCTGGGCAGCCAAGCACACTTCTTCAGAGCACTTTGTGCTTTTCATCGCTCTTGCCCTTGTGGAGATGTATAGAGACATCATTTTGGAAAATAACATGGACTTCACTGACATTATCAAGTTTTTCAATGGTAAGATGACATAGGATGAAGAAAATATTTTTATTTATGTGGCCAGATAAAGCAGTCAGTCAAACAACTCATGTTTGTTTTCCTAGGTTTCTTTGCATTAACATAAGCCTACATTTCTCACCCAACTTCCCTAAATACCTTTTATAATTCATATTTTTTAGACGTTTTAT